TACCCCCCCTTAAACACCCCTGCTGTAAAATCCTTCGACAAATTTCTTACCTTGCACATGCAAATATTTTCCCCTTTTTTTTTTTTTTTTTTTTTTTTTTTTTTTTTTTTTTTTGACGTCGAGCCTGCCATTCGGACCACTGATGATCATGATACCCCTGCATAGATGCTGGACACTAGAGCTCAATTGTTTTTGTTTCTTTATTTTGCTTGCTCCAACAGTCTATTTTCCCAGAATTAAAAAGTCGCGTTGACATCTCCCCTCCCTTCTCATCCGTCAATCGCTATCGATATTTAGCTATCTATGTCAACCTTTTTCTTCTTTCTTTCTCAATATATTGATTATAGAGACAGTTGGTGGTTTCTTATATCTTTTCTTCTTTTTCGAACTTTGCTTTGTTTTTAGAAGATTTTATCTGCTTGGACGAGATAGCCTGAATGGATCTTAGGGATAGACGCTTGCCAATATCAATAACTTTTTGCCCTATAAAACCTGTGTCACGATTGGGCGCGCGATAAAAAAATTGGCTTGCAAAAACAGACTCTCCCCTAATAAGCTGAACCACATGACGAACACGCCTGAAAGGCTGGTATAACAAAGATGAATTGCGTGAAAATATAGGTCAAGTCTAGAGTCTTCCATCTAAACTGCAGATGACGGCGCCTCAATCTAATTTGATTCCCTCCGGCTATACAGGTATCATACACAACCAGATGCTGACCCTTTACTTACGCAGAGCGTCTCTGATGGGCGAATCACCCCGGCGGAAAGAAGCTACAAGTCTCTCGTTAGCAACGCGGGCCCCAATCATGCCACAATAGCGAGGGGGGTAATCCCTGCCATCGAGCTACCCGGGATATCAAAACGTACAATCAGCCTCCTCCCACGCACGTCCGGCACCGAAGCCCAGACCAACCCAAGCGGGCCAAGCCCTCCGCTTGAACAGGAGCACCGAGAAGACAACACCGAAGGACAGACCGAGAGAAGAGCGGATGATCATGGAGGAGATGGCGCGGTCCCACTATAATTATCGTAGCGATAGACAGTTCCGTATTAGCCCGAAGCTCAAAACGTTTTCGAGTGTGAACGAGTCCTCCTTGTCTTGATTGTGATCGCAGGCTGCGCGGACGGCCATTGATGCAATTGATAGGGTTCTCATCGAGTCGAAATCAAAAACCATTGGGCGTAAACAGTACCTTTTCGTTCAGCAAGGCCTCACTGACGGGCTTAGTGGCCCGGGCCACAGGCTGGGAACCGTTGTTGTCGGCCATTGTGATAGATCTGCGATCGGGGCGTTAGTTCGGACCTCAGAGACGAGAAAGGAACGGTGAACCAACAGTCTGCGATAGACGGCGGAGGAAGAAACAAAAGCAGACGAGAGAGGGCAGAGAAATGCCAATGGAGAGGGAGCAGATAGGGAGAAGCCGACGATGGAAGCGATCGGGAAAGGTCGAGCTCTGCCGGGCCAAAGGCGGTCGGGGGGAAAAACCCAGCCTTGGCTTGTTTCTGGCGTCACGGGCGCGCCTACTTTTTTTTCCCTTACTCCTGCTCCACGGATTATGTCGACTTGAATAATCCCCGGTCACTCTGGATACTCACCGATCGGACGGCTCTAGATTGTTCATTCGATCGTTCTCCGAAATGCCGTCTGTTGCGGAGGTGGGTTTTTCTTTTCTCCTGTCGTTCTTTCCAACGTTCTTGTGTTCTGCTCTCTATCACGGGGGTTCTTGAAAAATGTATATCCGACTAAATTGTACTGTGTTCTATACAGCGTCCACGCTCGTCGCAAGAGGCCCTACTTCGACTCGAAAAGGGCTCCGGGTCTCCGTCCGTTCAGCTCAATGAGGCCGCTCAGATTATTGGACTAGACCTGGCCCTATGTGCCAGTCACCCCGAAATCAACCGAACCCCTCATATCCAGACGAAGGCCGCCCCGAAGGAAGAATGGGTACTGCGATGGCTGTTGAAGAAGTTGAAGGCGGGCAAGAACTACCGTGTCGAACCTGCCTCGTTTCTACTGTTGCGACAGCTCATCGATCTGATCCCCCCGAAGACGTTGGCGATCACGTTGAAAGACCAGAAGTTCTTGGGCATCATCAGCAACGCAATCACCGACTTGGAGGACGACGTTTTCGCCGGACTGGAGAATGGTACGACAGAGTTTCTTCGCTCGGATTCGGATTCGAGCAAGACCCTTAGCGATTCGACGCAGGACGCGGGGAAGTACGATAAGAAAGGGACGAAAAGGAAGAGGCCTGGTGATGGAGAACCGGATGCCATGGACATCGATGAACAGCCGCAAACGCCCACTTCGTGTTTCTTGACCTTCATTCGGGCGCTGGATTGCTTGTACAGCTTGGTCAACTTGACTAGTCGGACGCTGGGTATTGAGGAAGTGGCCAGCGCTCACCTCAGACATGCTCTAAAGGGGGAACCTGAATCGATTGCTTTAACGTTAGGCAAATCATTCAGGGTGGCTGCTGTGGCTACGAACCAGTTCTCTCACGCGCGAAAGACAACCGATCTGCAGCATCTTCTGTATGTGCTCCCGGCAGTCCTGGAGCTGTGGGAACTGAGGTCTTATCGCCGGAATGATTCAGACAGTGGTTCGAGTAACGTAAGTTCCGTAACTGGAGGCTGGCAATAGGATACTCGGGATGCTAACAGTTGTTAGGAATCTTTCGCCAAGGTTTGTTTCCAGAGTGCGTTGAGATTACATCTCTGCGTGCGATCCGTCCGACTAGATACCGATGAGAGAGCCCAAGTTCTGCAGGGGGTGGAGCGATTAATTGCCCTTCATGTGGTACTGCCAGCGCGAGCAGCATTCTACGACCGAGGAGGCTCTGGTATAGATTATTCGGCGAGTGAGCCGGACTGGAGTCCAGTCAAACCCGTTTCGGACACTTTCAAGCCGATTTTGTGTGGCATCGATTCTACTGGTGCCACTGGCGAAAGCTCAAACACTACGACAAAGACGCTATGGAAGACTGCAGAATTGCTACCCGAATTCTTTGACATCGCGTCCCGTTCGGTGCCTAGGGACACCTTCCGTAGACAGACGCACGAGGGTCCATGGCTAGAGACGCTCTTTGTGGCTGTCGCTGAGCTTGCATATTGGGTTGTGAAGGCGGAGAATGCGAACATTTACCTTCCAGAGTTTGTCGGCATTCTTGAACGTCTTTTCCGCGTGGTCCTCTCGCGAAACGTGCAGCTGTCTCTTCATACATTGCTAACGCATGCCGTGTATACGGGTCTGCTTAAGGATGGCCTGGCGCAAGTTGAGTGGAGCCTCACGGCGCTGCTTATTGATTTGGGTGCCGACATCTTTTTGCCGAACTCTGGTTTGCCGGATTCGACCAAACTCCTCAAAGCACTACTTGAGAAGATTCACTTGCACTGGCGAAGTGGTGTGTCGCGCACTCATGAAAGTTATGAAGTCATCAAAACCGGCATTGTGGTTCCTTTGTTGCGCGGATTCGTAGCCGCCCGTGATTTGGCAACATTCATGCAGTTGTGGACTAAGCAGCTAATCAGTATCGAAGAGGCCCGATCGCAAGACAGCAATCTCAGCCTTTTCTCCGTCTGGGAGGATGACGATGTTTGCAACATTTACAGTGAACTGATGCGCAATCCTCTAACTCACGCACATGCTGCAGTGCAGATGCACGCCGCGGCCACGGAAGTCAAGGGCAAGGATGGGAAAATCGCGGCTACGCCTTCTGCCTACGCTCAGTTTTTGATACTAGAGGCGGGTCTTAGAAGTCGCACATTGTATTCTACGGCTTCAAATGAGGACTTGGACGTCGTCATCGAGACGTTGGCCTCTACCATGCCTTCAAAACAGAGCATTCATTGGAGGTGGCGGCTCTGGAGACTTGTCCGAAACCTCCTCGAAAACAATGGTCAATTCGCCGATGGAAGCCGTGGTGCTACGATCATGGGATTCACGGATGCGGCCGCAAAATCCATCCGGCGCCATCAAAAGGATCAGGTGCAGAAGCCGTGTGCTCCTCTGGAGTGTTTTGAGGCCTACAGATTTACCCTTGCCTCGGTTAAAGCATCTCCCGAATCAAACAATGTCGACAAGTTCAACACGGTCACAAAGGACGTCGCAGACTTCCTTCAATCGAGCTCCGCCAAGGATGCTCTGCAGTCGATGGACTCACCGTGGGATGGTCGTGCAGAGACTCTGACTTCTCCCATAACTCTTTCTCTGGCTTACTTCCTGGCCATCGTCCGGAATCCGGAAATTTGGCCTGTTATCGAGTCGGACACTCGCCGGTCTTTGCTCACACATGTGCTTACCTTGGCGACATCACAATATGATTCATCGTCGTCCATTTTGGAAACCACCCCGGCCGGAGCACGATTCCTGCAAGCCTGGGTGAGCGTTGTTTGCCACGAGTATCTCTTCAACGCTCCTATCATTGTCGCAGACTTGATCCACGTGCTCACGGGACCCGTTAAAGAAGCCACTTCCAATCGCCAGCTATATGTCGAGAGTCTCCAGAGGATCCCAGCCCCGCTCGTCACTCGTCGCCAAAGAGCGGTCCTCTTGGATCTGATGCAAAATGTTGTTTTGCAGGAAGACAGTACGCCAGAAGTTCTCGTGGGATTGCTGTCCTTGATGGCGAAGCTAGCCGACATGCCCAAGACTGCAGCCGTTCTCACCAGCGACTGGGAACCGATGTGGACTGTGGCTAAAGCCGTTTCCTTGCGAGGAAGTGACGCTGACCTCCAGATCATGAAAGCGTTCCGCAACCTGCATCGAGCCGTCGTGGCGAAACTACTGGTCTTGTCCGAGGACGATCGCCGCAAAATGTTCAAGAAGATGTATCGAAAGGTATCGTCCAAGGCTTCCAAGTTGCGGTCCATCGATCGCGACTCGATGGACTGTTTTTTCATTAGGATATCTCTGTCCCAGCTCTGGCTTCACCGCAAGAGCCTTTCCGGCGTGTTTGACGAGGAAGAGCTGGCCAGCTGTCGGCACAAGGTGTTTGAACTTGTTGTCGCGGAGGTGAAGTCCGTCAAGGACAAATGCAAGAAGCAGAAACTGGAGGAGACTATTACGCTGATTAAGATCCTCGACGCCCTGGAGGACTTCGAGGACTTCGCTACTGATCACACGGAGGTCGAAAAATTCCTATCCAAGATCGAGAGCTACGTGGAAAAGTCCATCGACTCCGGCTCCTCGCTACGACGACTGATTAGGCGCCGCGTTCTCGCCGGCCGTGGATCGGACAAAAGCATTGCGCTCCCCGTCATTCAGTATGCCGAGGCCCTTCCGCTGCGGCACATGTATGGCGAGGAACAGCATCTCTTTATTCGGTCAACGAGTGCCAGATTCCGCTCATTGTCGTCGGACGAGCTTACTCGGGTGATTCGCGATATCCGAGAGCTTGGGTTCCTCGGAGACAGTGCTGAATACCACCTGCTTATCTGCGGGCTAGCCGTGGCATCTCTGGCTCCCATCGAAGACAAGGACAACGATACGGCCAAGGAGCTGTCGCTCTTGTGCACCGCCGTGACGGAGTCGGTGTCGCGCAGCAAATCGATCGAGCAATTCACCTTCGGCACCGAGTGCCTGGATATCCTCTTGCGGAACCACACGCGCTGCATCAGCCAATGGAATATCGATAGCCTGCTGGCCTGCGTTGCGGTCTGCGCGTCCAAAGCCGGGCCACGGATCAACCCGGAGTACTCGGCCACGATCTACATTCGACTGTGCCGCATCATGGGTGCTCTGCTGGGCATCCATCGACAGAAGCTGGGAGGTCGGTTCCACCTGATCCTACCCGCGATGCAACGACTGCTGAACTGCCTGTTTGCGCGGTCCCGCAAGCGAAGCCGGTCGATGCTTTCGGAGAAGCGACAGGCGGAACAGCCGTTCTGGCTGGCGTCTCTCGACGCAGCACACGCGGTGCATTTTACGCGACTGCTGACTTCCCTGTGCGATCCCACGGTGTCGGCGGTGTCGCGACCGACGCAATCGGGGGTGGGCTACGAGGGCCTGACGGACCAGACGAAGAAGGCCAAGCGGATTGCGGGGCAGTACCTGCAGTACCTGATCATGGAGTATGCGCAGAGCTCCTTACGGGGGACGCTAGCGCCCGAGGTTAAGGCGGCGATCATGCCCGGCTTGTACTCGGTGCTGGATGTGATGTCGCGGGAGACGATGCGGGCGCTGAACGCAGGACTGGACGTGTCGGGACGGGCGGTGTTCAAGGGATTGTACGATGATTATATGAAGTTTGGAAAGTGGAACCAGGGGTAGATAACTAAAGAGAGATCACTTGAGGGGGGGGTTGATTTTAGCGCATAATATACCACATTGTTTCAGACAAGAGAACCGAGAGGAACTGTAGAACGGAGCATGGTACGAGAGAGAGAGATAAGCACCTCCGATCGGAGGGCCACGTGATGGTGGTTACTCGATCCCATCGAGTCAGCAGTCAACCCAACGATGAGGTGACGATTAGATACGCCCAGCCCGCCCGGGCTCCACCCGAACCCGTTTAGTTTCTCCGCAAACAGCCCCGAGCCAGATATCCGCTGATAACGCCCAGTGTCTTACTCGATCAGATCACCTCGCACAGTCCGGCTGGCTGATGGAGGGCTGCCATATCCTATCGGCACCCCTCTTATCATTGCCCTGCCCTTCCACCCCCATATTTTTGACTTCTCTGGGGATGAGGATCCCATCCCCATTCCATGAATCCCGTCCACCCGGGGACCTCCCGTGATAACGGCTGATATGGCTCGATATCACCCTATCGTCGCCCTGATTGGCCCTGGGCTGATCATGACGATATGGCTTCCATCCGTTCGTTGTCCGCCATGACTAAATGAAGATCAAATGGAAACTAGGATATCGTCGGGGGCGCCGTCGCGGCCTGCGTTGTCAGGCCCAGGCGTGTCTGTCATTGTTATATCTCGTCCCCGTCCTCTCGACTATCTCACCTCTGCTTTGTCTCCCCCCTTCTGCCCTCGTCTTCCTCACTCCGATACTCTACTGTGCACATCGAGCAAGTCATTGAACTCAAACCGGACTCCCTCCCGGGTGTAGCATTGCATCATTGCATCATTGCAGCATTGCATCATGGCTCGAATGAAACAATGGGTCGAGAAGCTCGAGGTGTCGGCGGAGCCTGGGCTGACCAACACGCAATTAATGTTGACCAACCATGACTTACGGCCAGGTGAGATTTTGGCACCACCGGCCGACGATTTCTTTCACTCTTGCCTGCTCCGGGTCTCGTTCTCGAGTCGAGGAACTGTTCAGCTGACCGTGTGCCCACTTTGCGCATGATGCAGTTGAACCCGAACGTCGCCAATGGAGATGGTACAATTTTATTGCCTTTTGGATTGCAGACTCCTTGAATATTGTATGTTGGTGTGGCTCTCGGAAAGCTTACCGGAAGGCTAACGGCAGACCAGAATACCTGGATGATCTCCTCATCCATGATTGTGGATGGACTGTCGTGGTGGCAGGCCTGGCTCTGTGTGTGGGTGGGCTACTTTATGGCCGCGTGTTTTGTTTGCTTGACCGGTCGCATCGGTGCGGTCTATCATATCTCCTTCCCGGTGGTCTGTCGGTCAACGTTTGGGATCTGGGGGTCCTTCTGGCCCGTTTTCAATCGGGCGGCCATGGCGGTGATTTGGTACGGGGTTCAGGGCTATATTGGAGGTAAGTGCCAGGCCATTCTCCCCCACCTCAACAATAATGCAGGTCTGACGCATCAATTAGGTCAATGCGTGACCATTATGATTAGCGCCATTTGGCCCAGCTATGCCAATCTACCCAACACTATTCCCGCAAGCTCCGGAGTTGACACGAAGGGCTTCGTGAGCTTCTTCCTCTTTTGGCTCGGCTCGTTGCCCGCCCTCTGGTTTCCCGTCCATAAGATCCGACACCTGTTCACCGTCAAGGCAATTTACTCCCCCATTGCGGCTATCGCCTTCTTCGCCTGGGCCATCAGCCGTGCCAACGGTATCGGGCCGATCGTGCACCAACCCAATACCGTGCATGGCAGCGCGTTGGCCTGGGCCGTGGTGAAAGCGATCATGAGCTGCATGGGGAACTTTGCTACTCTCATTGTCAACGATCCTGACTTTTCGAGATTTGCATACAAGCCCAAGGATGCGCTCTGGTCCCAGTTGTTTACCATTCCCATCGGCTTCGGGATCACTTCTTTCATCGGCATCATCGCGTCGTCGTCGTCCGCCGTGATCTTCGGGGGTGAAATGGTGTGGAATCCCCTCGATCTCTTGAATATGTTCTTGAAAGGAGCCAGTTCTGCCGAGCGCTTTGGCATCTTTGTGATCGCGACGGGATTTGCTTTGGCCCAGCTCGGCACCAACATCTCCGCCAACTCGGTCTCGGCCGGTACCGATATGACCGCACTGCTTCCCCGGTACATTACGATCCGACGTGGTAGCTATGTCTGCGCCGCCGTGGGCTTAGCCATGTGTCCGGTAAGACTCCCTGGTTGATTCCCGCATCGGAAGAACTCTCAGCTAACTTGAAAAACGCAGTGGAACCTGGTATCCTCGTCCAACCAATTCACCACCTATCTCTCTGCCTATTCAATCTTCCTGTCATCCATCGCCGGTCCAATGCTCTGCGACTACTACGTCGTCCGCAAGGGTTACCTACAAGTCAAGGATCTGTACTCAGCCCGGAAGAACTCGCCCTACCGATACTCGTACGGCTTCTCCTGGCAGGCCTACGCCTCCTACCTGGCGGGCATCCTAATCAACATCGTCGGGTTCGCCGGCGCCGTCGGCCGCACCGTGCCCGTAGGCGCCCAGTACATCTACAACATCAATTACGTCTCCGGCGTGACCGTCTCATTCACTCTGTACTATATTCTGACCCGCCTCTTCCCGGTGCCGGCCACCAGCGAAACCTGGAACGAGGTCGACGTGGACGTCGACAACCTGTCCATTGCCTACGGCGAGGAAGTCGACTCCTACCCGTACGAAGTGGATGCCGCCCCGAAGACGGACGATCCCGAATACGTATCGTCTCCCGACCACAAGGGAGCCAAGGCGGGATCTGCTGCCGCCATCTGAACAGAAAGAAAACGAACATAGTATATCCAAACTGGCGAACTCGGAGCAAACATCTTTTTTTGTACATAAGGCGATTGGGAACGGGGTTTTCTGTATATTCAATACCCGCATGGAGTTTCTTTGTTCTGGTCGATTATTAGGACCATCTACTCTGCACGACGATAGAATGTGTGCTTTGATTCATCTGCACATGATATGAGATATGAATTTGAACAAGACATCTTTTTCTTTCCTCCCTTTATCTTGCCCTTCATTCATTGATTAATTCCCTCATATCTACCGTCGTGGTACTCTCATTGAATAATTTCCAACCACTAGACCCTAACGAGTAGTATATCCTCCATTCGCAAAGATCGTCTGCCCCGTAATCCAAGTCCCCTCGGTACACAGGAAGCGGATGATAGGCGCGATGTCCTGCACCATGGTTAGGCGGTTGCCCATGCCGTTGGCTTTGTGGAACTCGACGGCCTCGGGTGATTCTTGGGGGTAGAAGAACGCTGTATATATAGACAATTATCTCATCAGTCTTTCTTTTTATACTTTCAAGATAAATAAAGATATGGATATGGATATGGGTATGGGTATGGATATCCAAATGAGGGAAGGGGGGAGACATACGCGTATCCATCGGTCCCGGAGCAACGTTGTTGACACTGACGCGGCGGGATTGGAGTTCTTTGCAGACGCCTCTGTTATTTCGAGAATTGGAGATTAGCGAACATTCCTTTTGCTTGTTTCTGTATGTGTTTATGTTTCTTTTATTAAAGAAGACAGGGGAGGAGGAGGTGGTGGTGGTGGACGTCTCAATAACGTACCGAGTAAAATGTTCCACAGGAGCTTTGCTCCCTGCGTAGGAGGTATAGAAGCCCGTAAAGGCGCCGAGCAGAGCCGTGACGATGGTAATGATCTTGCCACCATCCGAGATATGCGCGGCGGCTTCTTTGAGAACGAAGAAGGCGGTTTTGGAGTTGATGCTGGGAACACTTAGTATCATGTCATACGAAGTACTTTGTCTCGGAGTGAAAGTTCGAGAGAGGGCATGAGGAAGAAGGTGGCAAGGGGGGGGGGGAAGGAAGGGCACATACGCAAACATCTCATCATATTCCTCCTCGCTGATCTCCGTGATCGGTTTCTTGAGCACTTTGCCGACCGTGTTCACGACGATGTCGATCTTGCCGAACTCTTTCAGCGTGTCCTGGAACAGCTTGGTGACGGCCGCGGCGCGTGTCAGGTCACCCTGGTAGGTTGCAATCTTCAGGGACGGATACTTCTGCTTCAGCTCGGCGGAGAGGCTGGAGGCATCGGACTGGCTGCCGGCGGAATGGTAGTGTAGGGCGAGGTTGGCACCCTGGGCGGCCAGTTCGCGGGCAATCTGGGCGCCGAGGTTCTTGACACCGCCAGGGATGAGAGCGGTTTGGCCGGTGAGGGACATTTTCGAGAATGTCTACAGATGATCGAGAAATTGCAGTGATTAAAAAGAGAGAAGCTGGGTGTAATTGAGTTTGGTTGGAATGAAATGTAGCTCCGAGAGATCCATGAGGATGTTCAGGGCCTTTTTTATAAGGAACCGCGGGGAGAGTTCCATGGCTGAATGATGTTAGGTTCTCTTTTTTTCGACCTTCGACACCGCATCTTCTCCGGCAGTCCGAGATAGGAGGCCAAATGCGGACTCTGCCAGAGGTTAAGCTTTCTTAGTATTCTTAGTGTGTGATATCCCAATCGGGCAAGGGGTGGCTGAGAGTTATTTTTAGGTTAGTCAGCTCTGATCAGATCTGACCCAAAATGGAATGGGACGGGCCATTTGGGTTTGCTAATGACGTCAAGAGATGCGGTCCCATCGTGAAGGTGATATCCTATTTGGGTTACTGCAGTGCCTCTCTACTGAGTAGGGATGGATAACGAATTATTGATCTTCTGGTCGTGACCTCGTGACTCCGTTGTATAAATACATCGTTATGTCCGTTTATCTCCCCTCTGTGGATCAATATTAGGGTTATTTATGACGCTCCCAAGAAATGACCCGGATTTGGGTCGGGCAATGCTTGCCCCGGCACAAATGTCGCGCCGGGGAAATAAAGCGACGATCCGTGCAAGAAGGCCGCGTTGCGGTCTATCCAGACCACTATTCGCCGGAGCAGCCCGTTCAGTCCGAGGGACGTGAGACCGCCTCGTAGACCGACCGCCCGAGTGAGACCGCGCATGTGCACGCTGTAGTTCTCCATGCTACCGAACATAGCCTCGTAACTGGCCATCTTCGCGATAGCGCCCACCAGTGCATCGTTGACACCGTTCTTCTGCTGGAATTGCAAGAAATAGTTGATGGCGTTGACGGTCTCGCATCGCAGACGGAGCAGATCTAGCTTGAGATCCGCCGACGGATCCCGCACCGAGGCATAGTGCGAGCCGGCCAGCAACATGATGACTAGGAACAGCGACGGCTCGGTCATTACCAGCGGAAACCAGCTGGTTCGGAGAAGGCCCCGGTTACCGGGCTGGTCCAGCTCGGGAATGTCGACCGCCATACTCATGAGATCTAATGCCCAGCCCGATCCGGGGCTCGTTAGCTTGCCCGCATCGGATAGTTAACAAACTATAGGTGACTATTCATACAGTGATCCACGAGCTGTGGTAGGAATGGCCTGAACGAGATCGGATAGGATCGAAAGGGATCGACGCGGATTCCACCGAGTGGCGGCGGGATCGAGATGGGGGGTTGGACTACGCCCTCCGGCGTGGGAGGGTGACCATCCTCATCCTGCCAGGCGGGGCAATCTAATTCTATGCAGGTCGACCACGGCTGATTGTCCCGGTTCTTTTTGTCGTCTGCCTTCTGAGTGGAGTGCGACGGACGGTTCTCGATTTGCTTCCATTGATAGCGAGCCACGTGAGAGCGGATCTCGGGCTCTTTAGCTAGCTGCAAGGCATCTTTAGGTTCGCGAACATTGATGAACACAAAGTCCATTCCCATTGTTCCGCTGTCGTGTAGATCGATCGGTCTGGTGGATGGTAGTTCGGGCCTGATTTAGGTAACAGTAGTCATCCTTTGACTGGGAGTTGCTCGCGTGCAGGAGCGGCAAGATTTCGGGGGAATATGGAGTATGCTTGAATCTGAGCCTCTGCCGTGAAGAATGAAGAATGAAGAACGAGATGACAGGAGTTCAGCTCTGAATTTCTTCCTGAGACGCCCGGAGATTTCAGCCGGTCGGGCTGGCGCTAACCCGATTGGGGCGGTGATTGCCTCCTTCTTACGACTCTGTACTCGCCCTCTTCCTCTTCCTCTTCCCTCCGTCCTCCTTCCTCCCTCCTTCCTCCACTTAGCCTAAATCCCCTTACTTCGGGAATCCGCACTTTGCATGTAGTGGAGGCTAAAGCAGAATTGGGGAAACCAACTCCAAAGAATGCTATCAGATATTCAGATGGCGAGGCACGGTTCATTTTTCTACTGAACAATTAAATCCCCCGCTGTTATTATGCCCTCTGGGTAACATCACCGTGTCATCATGATAAGCGAATGCTACAATGAATACGGCATAAAAAATGCCGTTGAGCCGATCAGATACCGGCGAGGAAGGTGACATTGAGGGATCGACGCTTTGCGACCTTAGGTATCTGCACTTTCCTTGCCTTCCCCTCATTCTTCGGCTTGGAAATCCTACCTACGCGAGCCTGCCATGCCGTACAAATACGGACGCAGACCCCTCTATCGCTCTCCACCGCTGGAGCTTTAGCTAGGGTTCTTCGTCACAATGTACTGGACTCGGTCGTGGCGCTCAGTTCTGCTGCTAGCCCTTGGCGTAGGGGGTAGGCACTATTGTCCCCAATCCCATACCCGTAAATGATTGGCAACCAATCTCATCTCTTTCAGGACAGACTCGATTGGTGACAGTTCCTACCTTCCCTTTCATCGAAGCCGGTGACACTTACCACCTTGATCAATTGACGACCATTGTGGTGGATATCGACTATGCCGATGCCGTCGATCACGATGGACAAACGCTGATACCCCCGACCCTTCATCAGTTCGCTGAGACCTTCCAAGAAGACCTCGAGTCCTCGATAGGTCTGAGCTTACCCCTCAATCTCAGCTCGGATTCTATACCGGACTCCATTTTTCTTACCCTGACCAACAACAGTGACTTCCAAGATGCCGCCGGACGTCCCACTGCGGAGGCGTACACTCTCAATATTCATGATAACGGCATCATAATTGCCGGTGCAAGCCCACTGGGCGCTTGGTGGGGAACTAGATCTCTCATCCAGACAGCCGTAGTGGCTGGAAGGGAGCTCCCCCAAGGATCCGGGCTAGATGCTCCTGGATGGGCTAACAGAGGCGTCATGGTAAGTTGTAGTTGGTTATCAAACTGCCCGCCGACAACAGCTGACAGGTCGCGTTGGTTCCAGCTAGATGTCGGGCGTCATTACTATCCCCCCGAATTCCTAACCGAGATGTGCTCTTATCTCTCATTCTTCAAGCAGAATGTATTTCATGTTCACCTGAGCGACAATCTTTACAACAACGTCGATCGATATTCAAGGCAAGAATCGATGGACTTATACGCAGCTTTCCGCCTTTGGTCCGATGACTCGGCCGTGGCCGGATTGAACAAACGAGCCAATGAATCGTATACATACGACCAATTCCACCAGATTCAATTGCAATGTGCTCAGCGAGGTGTGACGATTATACCGGAAATCGAGGCACCGGGACATGCCTTGGTCATGGTGCAATGGCGTCCAGAGTTAGGGCTCGACGATCTTAGTATGCTCAATATCAGCCACCCAGACACAATTCCCACCATGAAAGCGATATGGGAGACGTTCCTTCCTTGGTTCCAGAGTAAAACCGTTCACATCGGGGCAGATGAGTATGAAAGTAACTTGGTCGCTGATTACACAAGCTTTGTCAATGAATTATATTCGTACATCTCTGAGGAGTCAGGCAAGGCTATGAGGATCTGGGGCACCTTCACGCCGGAACAAGGGGCTGACGTTTCAACCGAGGTGTCGGTCCAACATTGGGAGGCCTTTGAGGACAATGCGTATTACGATTTCATTCAAAACGGCTACGACGTGCTTAATTCAGACGATGCGTCCTACATCGTGGCTAAATGGTCGGGAAGCTACCCCCAGCAGTTGAACAAAACACGAATCTTCCATGGAGATCCTGTCGGCGGAGCATTTGCTCCAAATATCTTTGACATTAACAATCCGTCCAACAACCCTCCGCGAGACAACGACCGTGTGCTTGGCCACGTTGCCGCGCTATGGAATGACTATGGGCCCAACGCCACCACCGTTCTGGAGACTTATCATTCCTGGCGGGATCTGCTTCCCGCGCTGGGTGACAAACAATGGGGCGGGGATCTCCTCGAAGAGGAGTATGATCTGGTCTTTGAAAAACTTCATGCGGCCATACCGGCGCAGAATCTAGACCGCCAAGTTCGGAGCAAGACCGATACAATACTGCACTACGAATTCGATGAGGACACTCAAACTGTTACTGATCTATCTGGAAATGGGTACGATGGTACAGTGCATGGATGTGATATTCAAGATTCGGCCCTAATACTTTCCGACGGCTGCTATTTGGAGACGCCCTTGGGCAGCAAAGGGAGGGACTACACATTATCATTCTCAGTGAAACCCTCGTCAGATGCCCCTGGCATTCTTTTCGCCGGTCCCGACTCGATTCTCACGAATGGAGATGGATCTATCAGCGAAGTGACCTTCATAAGTGGCGGCAACTCATACTCGCTGAATTACAGCCTTCCGCTGGATACCTGGACGGATGTTTCTTTGGTCGGAAAGGGTGCCCATACATTCTTAACCGCGGAATCTACCTCCATGGAATTTCTCGCTCGACTGGGAATAAATGGGGAACGACAACTATGGGCGCCTGTTGCGATTGAGGCGCCGCTCAGTCGGATCGGAGAGGGCTTTAATGGGATGATCAGGGACATTGTTTTACTGAGGAATGCGGAGTGAGAATGGGCGCTCAAGGTCGCGAAAACAGGGGGCATTTTGTTTATGGCTCTGACCAAGAAGTAGTAGCAGCTGCCTGTACTACGTGCCTGTACTACACTTCTCGTCTTCACCAATTTATGCCGTGCAGCAACACGTGGACCCCTCGTGATCTGATGGCGTTGCCCCTCCTTTGTCATTGCCTTGACCTCTTTTTCTTGTTTCTCTTTCTTCCTGGTACCCATCCGCCATCATCACGGATTGATTCATACCTGAGAAGGAGTATTTACTTTGACTGACGTCATGTCAACACCACCTGTGTCTTTTACTATGGTCGTTCCCTTCATTGGAGCTGCCCTCATCGCCCGCGTGGTCTATCTCTACTATTTTCATCCGCTCGCTAAATATCCAGGACCGTTTCTAGCTCGGTTCACCAATATCTGGTCCGTACTTCTGCCTATTAAATTCACTCGTACCTAGTAGCCATTAGCTTAGCAATGAGTCCGATGAAAGGAGATTCTTCAATTTTCTCGGCGGACAGCACCACTTGACCGAATGGCGTTTGCACGAGCAACATGGGCCCGTAGTGCGCGTTGCGCCAAACTGGCTTTCATTCTCCACTCTCGAGGACTTTGAAGCCATCTACGGTTTCAATAAGTCCGTGGAAAAGGACGAATTCTACGGGTTTGGCAAAGACCAAAGCAAACGGATCCCGAGCATCTTTGCTACGAAATCCGATGCCGTCCACCGACAAAAGAAACGAAAAATACTAAGTCCTGCTCTGACTAGCTTCAAGTCGGCGAGGTATGCACCCATAGTACCAAAACACGTCGATGTTCTGCTCGCCAGGGTGGAGGCGTTGTCGTCCGTCGCAGCGAAACCAGTCAATTTAGCCCCTCTCGTGCATCAATTCACAGTGGACACCATGCTGGAGGTTATTTTCGGACCCGCTCTCGCCTCGCATTCCTACACAGACAATGCTGCAGGAGAAGGGCTTCTTTCGGCCTTGCGCCAGATGAGTAAATTGGCATGGAGCTTCTCTCTCTGGCCGGCGTTTGGATGGATTATGAACACGCGCCCCATCGATGCTCTGCTTCGTAGACCGGTCCGCAACGCCAAGGGACAAAACACAGGCCTGCTCGCTCTCTTGGCTGCCTGCGGGGGGACCATCTTTGGGCGTTCCGTGGAAGTGGTCCAACACCAGCAGCCTGGCATCCTGAAAAGCTGGCTAGAAGTCCCCCTCGACGACGCCACCCGGATGAATCAGGATGAGCTCCTATCGGAGGCATTCAACCTGGTTTTCGCGGGACCGGGAAGTACATCCGCGACAATCACCGCGCTGTTGTATCAGCTGGGAACCGATGAAGGTCAGGGATGGCAGGACAGATTGCGAATGGCGGCGTCGGATTTCAACGAGCTGGAGTCATCGACGACCGCATCCCTTCCCTTGGAGCTGCAGGCCGTCATCAAAGAGACCCTCCGTTTGCACGCCGCCTTTCCTACAGCGTTTCCTCGCGTCATCCGGCCAGGCGCCGAGACAATCATTGCCAGATTGGACTCCCCGCTGCCTGTGGGCACGAGAGTGTCGGCCAATACGTACGTTCTAGGCCAGTCGCGCGAGATCTGGGGTGACACGGCGGACCAATGGTTACCGCAGCGATGGCTGGGGGATGAGTCACAGCGGCGAGACATGGATTCCAAATCTGTGGCTTTCAGCAAAGGCGCGCGAGGCTGCGCAGGGAAAGACCTGGCCTGGCTGGTGATTGCTCAAGCGGTGATGGCGACCGTTCGGCGATGGAGAATCCGGGCGGTGGGGGAGCTGCGAGGGAAAGGCTTCGTGGAAATGCAGTACGATGATTGCTGGGTGGAATACGAACCGATTGAGTCTTCGTAACGAGAACTACTGTGATACATAAGTATAGTGGCAGTGCCGATGCAAAGAATGTTTACATGATGTCACGGAATGGATCTGGTGGATCGGCGCTTTTTCGATTAATTTTTATAGTCCTGAGTCACGGCTCCACTGCAGCTCCGCCGATCTTGACGGAAGCGTAAATAAAACTTCCCCATCTCCCCTCTTTTCTTCAGCTTTTCTTTTTTCTGTTTTCACCCCGGAGAGTCTCTCGCGGTCTCTCTACCCTCTTTTCCATCCTATACTCCTAAAGCGTTTTCTTCTCGTCAAATTCCTCAACAGAATCGAGTTCTGAAGGTCAAAATGTCCTCCCGAGCTCTCCCCCAAACACTCCGCTCCATCACCGCCATCAAGATCGGCGAACTCTCAAAGCAGCGAGCCCTATTCGACAAGCAACGCACTCGGATCCTCCAAGCTGCTGGAAAATCGCCCGATCTCCGATCCAGAGCCCAGGTCTTGCTCGAAGGCGTGACCAAGCTCAAGGGGTTTCCCAACGATGCATTCGACAAGGAAGACCTAGATGTGGATGAGTCCGACCACGAAGGCGACGTGAGTGATGGGTCGGAACGTGCTGCGCACGTCAACGTCCGGCGATTCCTGCTGCAGAGTCGCTACGATCTGTCGGTCTCGGATCGGAGTCTGAAAGAGTGGGTGGCTGAATTGGAGAATGAGATTCGTTACCTGCAGTTGCAGCATGAACATGCCTCATTCTACAGCAGTCTGGTCACGGAATGGCTGGAAAGTCTGGAGGAGGACCCTACTGCGACAGCCGCGACGGAGGGAGAAGGCGAGACGGTGGGGCGGACGGAGATGCACGAGCAACGCGAGACGTGGGAGAATTACGTGTTCAAGGAGGCGGATGTGAATAAGGATGCGATCAAGGAGTATCTGGATCGGCTCTTCACTGAGACTGCGCTGTCGAAGCAGGCGTTGAAGGAGCTGCGGGAGAAGATCAAGTCGTTTGGCACGGAGCTCGGGTCGAAGCGGACGTGGATCACCGTCGACGAGCTGGAATGGGTCAGTAAGGCGCTGCTGAAGTCGGACCTGCTGTCGAAGGAAAAGACGAATATACTAAAGGAGTTCATGCGCAATCCAGCGGTCGCGCAGGAAGTGGCGGACGTGCTGAACATGCGTCTCGCTGCTTTGGAGAGTTGGAGCTGGCCAGCGGAGGGGATTCCGGTCGAAATGCGCCGCCAGCTGAATGGTAAATACCGGGTGTTCATGGACGAGGATATTCTAGATGCCCTCCTGTTCCAATATCTCGGTATCAAATGGGCGGTGACCTTTAAATCCGCGTTCGATACCTTCGTGAACACGCGCGCCTGGAAGGTACAGAGGCCTGACATCCCTAAACGCGTGAAGAGGCAGCGCAGCCAATACTTCCTCGACACGGGAAGAGGATACCAGGGATCTGGTATCTACAGCGTGGAGGACTACCGACTGCGAACGTACAAATCGAATTACTTTATGACCCAGCTGCCTTCGTCTGTGGAGGCAAACGTGCCGGAATACGACGATGGAGGTGACTCTGGATCAACGTTCAGTACGGAGAGGGCCCCCAAGGATGCTCTCGAGACGAAGCACTCTCTTCTGCATCTCTTGGTCACAGAATCCCTCATCTACACCTCCCAGTATGGGGAGTTTACGGCCCTCCGGTCGGACTTCAAGTACTTTGGGCCCTCTCTCCCGCACACCACGATGCTGACCGTGCTGGAATATTTCGGAATGCCCCAAAACTGGCTCAACTTCTTCCAGACCTTCCTTGAGTCTCCGTTGAAGTTCACCCAAGATGGACCCGAGGCCGCTCCCCAGGTTCGCCGGCGTGGCATTCCCATGAGCCACACGCTTTCCGATTGTTTTGGCGAAGCCGTGCTCTTCTGCATGGACTACACAGTGAACAAGAATACGGACGGTACATACCTGTACCGGTTGCATGACGACTTCTGGTTCTGGGGCCATGAGAAGACCTGCGTCCAGGCATGGAACGCCATGACCGAGTTCACCCAGGTGATGGGACTCGACTTCAATGAGGAGAAGACCGGCACGGTGCGACTGGCCAAGAAAGACGATCAAAAGCAACCCACCACGACCGACGACTTGCTCCCCGCGGGCGACATCCGCTGGGGATTCCTGAAGCTCGATGCGCAGAAAAACCGATTTGTCATCGACCAGGAGCAGGTCGACAATCACATCGAGGAGCTGCGGCGCCAAATATCCGCCTGCCCCAGCATCTTCGCCTGGGTACAGGCGTGGAATAGCTACTTCGGGCGATTCTTCGCCAACAACTTCGGCAAACCCGCTGTCTGCTTCGGACGCAACCACATCGATATGGCCATCTCCACGCTCAGTCGTATCGAACGCTCTCTGTTTCCCAACAGCCCCAGCGGCGTCACCGACCACCTGCGCAAGATGATTGCCGAGCGGTTCGACATCCACGACCTACCGGAAGGCTTCTTCTACTTCCCCGTCGAACTGGGTGGCTTGGAACTCCTGAACCCGTATGTCCCACTGCTCGCCATGCGCGAGGACATCAAGCAGAGTCCGCTGGGCCGACTCCACAAGGCGCGCCTGGAAGACGAGAAAGACTACTACGCCGCCAAGGAAGCGTTCGACAAGTCGGGCGGCAGACGAGACAGCGACGAAGAATCCGCCACCTTCATGTCTCTCGACGAGTATACCAAGTACGCCGAGAGCTTCAGCATTCCTCTCCTGCAGGCGTACCGCGACCTCACTCGCATCCCGAACGAGGTCGAAATCAACCAGACTCCCAAGCTGCGCGCCAACCAGATGTCCCTCGGCGGCGAGGAACCGGGTACGCGCAGCTCCATCTCCGAGTATTGGAACAACATGTCGCCTTACTGGCGGTGGGTCGCGGAGCTGTACCAAGGAGAGATGGTTCGGCGGTACGGGGGTCTGGCCGCCGTGAACCGCGAATTCATGCCGTTGGGAGTCATCAAGACCCTCAAGGAGGGGAAGATGAGATGGCAGGGCTAGAGGGATGGAACCTGGATATTGATACCCATGAAAACTGCATATATTTGTGATCTACGATGTGATTAGTAGTTATGTGTGATGACCAATCTTCACTTTTTATCAAACCTGTTGCTCTTCGTATACTTAGTAGGTCATCTATTTCACTTCAGTGATGTCGTCGCATGTCAAGTCGAGTCATTTCGTATATCCAGCTTCAAAGTCGTTCAGTAAGCCCCGAAGACGAGCCTTTTCTTTCTCGCCGCCGAAAATCATCTCGATCGAGTCTCGGCACATACGTAGCATGTCTTTCCGATTGAGATTGAAGTGCTCCGCGGCTAGACGATACTCGTTTGACACGGGACTGCAGAAGAACCCCACGTCATCGGTCTGTTTCCCGCAAAACATTAGTGTCATGTCTTGGAAAGTAGCGCAGCGTTTACTCTGAGTAGAGACAAAAAACACTGGACAACTAGAAAGGAAGGAAGGAAGAACGAAGCCGAGGCAAAGGGATATTGAAAACCTACACAAAGAGCAACCGGACACTCGCCGCCCTCCCACCATTCTCCAAAATGATGATCCAGAAAGCCACCTTCAAACATCTTCGCGTGCACATTACATGACAAACAAAGCTCCAAGCCTAGACGCCTCTTCGCAATCTCCCGCTTCAACGGACCTGGCACATGAATGACATGGCCCAACCGATCAGGTTCGAACGCCAACAGCGTCTCCAACTCCCCCGGCGTCGCGGGGTTTGCAACCTCCCCGAAATGCACCGTCACGCCGAGTCCGTGCGCCTTGGCTTGGGCGAATGCGGGCCCGTAGATCGCCACGTCCCCCTTGGTGGGGTTTCCGCAGAGATCGAGCCCCACGATGCCGCGGGCGCGGTGGGCGAGCGCGAGGTCGACGATGGCGAGGGCCTCCGGGGCGGTGGTGGCGCCGCGGTCCAGACCGAGGATGAGTGTGACGGTGATTTCATCCGGGTGGGAGGCGCGGAACTGCTCGATGGCGTTGAGTACGGTGTCGAGGTATTCTGCGCGGGTGAAGGCGCCGGTGGGCGAGGGGCGGGGGATAGTGCGGAGCTCGAGGTAGCGGATGCCGTCATGCAGGAAGTCCTTTAGGACGGAGGTCGTGGCGTACGCGATGCTGGGCAGGTCGTTGCAGAGGTGGTAGATGGATTGGGAGAAGACGGTGAAGAATCTGTTTGTTGGGGTTGATGAGCTGAGCTGGGCTTGAGCGGATAATTAATCGAATTGTGTGATTTGAGTTTGAGATGTATGCATATTGGTTACATTGTGCATCCATGTATGAAGGAAGAATTGGGGTTTTTCATGAGCGAGGTTGTGTTGGTAGAGGTGGCCTACGTTGCGAGCGAATAGTCCACTTTCCCCGGAGGCATGACAACCCATGGATCCTCGATGGATAATTCCGGGTCCTGGGCCTTTTTCTGTAGCCATATCTCATGGAGACACTGGCGGCTGATGCTCCCACTTAGGTGCGCGTGTACCTGCTAGCTGTGGTTACCCGGTTGGTTCGGGATATATATAGGGTAGCGGACAGGATAGAACCTCAATTTTAGGCAGTTGCTGGGTGAACTCTGCATCGACTGGTTTTGAGAAGTGCATGACGGTGAGATGGTAGATGAAGTAGATGAAAGTGAATGGAGAAAGAAAAGAAGAATGATAAGAAGAGAGGAAGAAAGGAAGAGAGGAAGCGAGGAAGAGGGGAGAAAAGGCACCGGGGTCAGGTGACCGAGCAACCCTAACTGGGTATCTAACAACAGATAGCACGATTCGAGGATGCAATCTATCCAAGAAGAGTGGATTGCGGTAATACTGACTAGTAACTGCTGGTTTGCTTCGTGGGAAGAGCCTGGAACCACAAGTTTACAGATACGTCACAGGATATAGAGGCAGTTTTCTCCGCGGATCCTCGCAACCATTAGTTACATTTGATATCACTAACTGATAGACTATAGTTATTACATTTCTCGAGCAGCACGAGAAACCCACGGTCTGTTATCTGCTTTGAGAAAGACAATGGCAATAAAAATGTCCATGGCCCAACAGACTAGCTCCACCCCCGCCTCCCCGCAATATATGCAGAACACTGCAACTTGGTCTCCAATTTTGCTGAGTAGATCCTATACCTTTGAACAGCAATTGTATAATCATTATGAAAAACTGTTATTAAATAATATATATTAATTTTGTTAATGTATATGTATATTTCTTCCTATTATAACCTCAGGTGGTTTTATGGAGGTTCAACTAAAAATTAGATATAAAACTTAATATATACATCTAACTTACTTCTGTCCCTCCTCATTGAAAACCTCTTGACAGTGAAGCAAGTTGTAGTGAATCATACCTCTAGATTATCCTAATATTAAACCAGATCTTGCTGCCAGATCAGGTAATCTAAGTTTATCCTTGACTCACCCCCTCTCTGAAGTGCATCAATCCCACTGTTAGATTAGTTAATTCAAGTCAATCTGATCTTGTCACCAGATTTGAAACTATAGACTAAAATCTAATTCACTACCTCGCTTCTGTAGGATAAGTAGGACCGCTCCCCTGCTTGGAGGAAGTTCCGGCGAGCCGTGTCCATCCCTCGTCACTGGTGATGTATTTATCCTCCGCGGAGGATAAGCTAGCTAGTCTATATTTCATGGCACTTAGAGCAATACTAGATATATTGATGTGCAGAGAGGCCATATTCTGAGTGAGATGACATGAGATGACAGCTTCACAAGATTGTCTCCGTAGTGGGAGATCTTGCATATATGCATTCTTGACTCTCTTTTAGAACTCTCGACTGGTTATCCTGCGATCGATGATGGGAGGCTTCAGACGCTCAGACGCGCTTGTCGGTCATGAATTTGCCGACACTGGAAGCTGCGATCAACCTGATGCCTTTATGTACGGAACTAGTCTCACTATGGGAGCTAGAAACATCGTTATAGTACGACCTAGACGGATACTATCGGTGTCGGCATGGCTATCTTAACCGAATGGAGTCTATACAAGCCATCTATATGCCCTCAATCATCTGCAGATACTTGCCGAGGCCAGGTACGTTGCAGAGTTAGAGGGTAAGCTAGACTGCGAGATATTTGACTGGCGGAAAAAAGCGACGAAATCTCGCCTGCGGTCACTAACGGATCGAGTCAAAGAAAGTATTCCCTGATCGAAGTCCCCAACCCTAGCCTCGCCCAGGATCCTAGATCTGACCAAGGGCTGTAGTTTTGGCAGTTTAAGACGAGGAATTGAGGGTAGCATCTGCTCCATAACCTTGCTATTTGCTCTATATTGACCTCTATCGTCTACTCATGCCCTGAATTACTGTTAGTCAGTGGAGGTGCAGCCGTGATGAGCTCTATAACTATCCAAATATATTACAACAGACCTTTTGAAATATCAACAGAGCAGGTATTCATCATTCGAGATACTCAGATCCCAACTCACCTGTTCAGATAGACCCATAAGCCGCCAGTTACTGACTTCAGTCCTAACGTGTGGTACAATTCCCTAGAGACCAAATAACCGCGCAACTCTATCACGCACAGAGCAAGCAATCGCTTCGCTCGCGCACCTGAAACCCACACGCTGGGCTATTGCAGGCACTTCCAACAGAGATACTATACCTGCCTCTCATCCAATAAACCAAACACCCCCTCAAGAGCCAACACACCAGCCCCGTTATCAAAGAAACGAGATAGATACCCAAGCACCCAAATTCAACACAACCCTCGATTCATGGCTTTGTCCGGATCGATTCTCGATAACGACGAGTCATCCTTGGATCACTTCGCGCCCGGCACCATAATCCATACAAAGCTCCATCCTGGTTGCGCGCCACAGCGGCTAGATCAAATCGACCCTTGACGCATGAGCATCGACCACGCGGTCGACCTACCCGCTGGGTACCCGCTAGCCGCACCCAGCTCATGTACATGATCTATATCCTGCAGAAAACATGCGATTCAGTGCGCATGAGTGCCTAATGGGCGCCAACAACAAGACAACTAGATGGAACAATGCCACGACTCTGGTGAGGGGAGGCGAAACGAGACGCTGGCTGGAAATCGACCGGTTGGATTATTATCCTGAGCGCGTGCTGGAGCTTGGCATGACCACGAGTGGGTGATTGTGATAATGGATGCATCATCTTGTTCCATAGAAGGTGGGACTGGATGAGCCTTTTTTTCACAGCTTGTTTTTATCTGTCTCTTGGACTTAAATAATGTTAACTCGTTTGGTCGACTAAATTGGTGTACAAGTATCAGCTCACTTTTCGACAAATATAGTCGATTGGACCGTTGGGGAAGAAAAAGATCCATGAAAATCCATGTCTCGACGTATGATGGAGATCTGTTCGTCTAATAAGTAAGTCCATCTTTCGTATCATACGTTCGTCGAGATGGTGTTGAAGACGAGAATGCAGGGACCCGGTTGCTCATTTCTTCTGTCTGCTTGGTTGTCAGATCAAGGAGTAGGACTCCACTAGTGATTCTGGTCATAGAATGAGAGGGGTTAAATCTCAAGTGATATACTTAGAACTTTTCTCGTTGCGGCATGATTATAGCATGGATGTTGATGGCATGTATAGAGTCTTATTTCTTGTAGGAGAAGATGTAAAAGATAGAACATGGATATAGATGTGACATTTTCATTATTCACGCCAACCTTATTTCATCGTTCGATTGAGATAGTTTCGAGCGGAGTCAGGCTCCGTTCAACAAGATATTTCATTCAACGTGAGGTACCATCCTGTTCTGCAATGCATTAACTCAAGGCCCTGTACGATATTCATAGGCACACTTGTGTGAGCGACAGGCTGACTATATGATATAATTCTTTCTGTCACTCTTTGTATATATACCAAGTCAACCTGTTAGACGACCCTAACCCGATATATAGCTTAAAGAAAACTCACCTACCACGAGTTTATTCTACGCAGTTACATTCCTTTATCATGGCGTTCAATCTTGCATGTGTGGGCCTCGACTCGTCCCGCTACCTACTACACATCAGGGCCAATACCACCAGCTCAGAGCGAACATCTCCAACCAGTACGTGAATCAAACCGGCCGTGACATTTCTGAACTTCAAATCCAGATACACTAAGAAAACTCACCTTACCGCGTAACCATCTATCCCCTGGCCCCATCACGAGTCATTCCGACAGCTATGGATATACCTTCGACCTAGTATGCCTCAGAGAAGCGGCTACGAGTCAGTGATGTTACCGCATGAAACGTCGAGTCTCGACAAAACCCAAAATTGGTCTCCTGTTGTCCGTTTCTCGACTCGGAGACTTTCACACCCGGGTAGAAAGACACCGCAGAAGCCAGAAACCAGAGACGTCGCGAGCCATCGGCTCATTCTTCTTAATTTCGGACCAAACGGGAGCATAAACTTCGCGGTTTCGGGATGAAAAAGGGGACCAGGACTAGGCCCATTGTCGGTAACTACACCGTAACTAATGTACGGCACAAATCTCGAGCTTCGTGGAACGCGCATGTTGCCCCAACCTGTCCCTGTAAACGAACGTAATGATAAATGTTCGGAAGTAGGGGGAAGAGTGGTCTGATTTTTTTGCCCCTTCTTTTTTTTAATATTATTTTCTCCTCTTTCGCCAAGAGGCCTGTACGGAGTATGCACTGGAAGCAAGGGGAACCAAATGGCGGGATAATGAAGATCGCCTTGTGTATCTTGAAATTTAGCGAGCTGGCGGTGTTGCTGACAGCGGAACTGCTAGCATCTCTATCGGTCCTGCCGAAGCTTTCAACGGCCGACTAGTAGCAGTCTAGACTGGGTTGACTGACTGTTTATGGTCCGAAAGTGACAGGCCACGTCGTCTGACGTGGACATTCCCGGCATGCATTCATCATGACATTCTGGCCTGGCCCATGTTGTTATTGTCGCCCTCGCAGGAAGTCGTAACACTCTTACGCCAAACTGACATAAAGCTTTCTGCGGCCGTTTCAAGTTGATTGGGGCCTTGCGATACCAACGAAGGGGGCGTCTCTAATGAAAAGTGGAGCCAGCGGCAGGCGAGCAGTCGTAACTCGTAAGGCAGACCAGAGCCGGGACAAGTAGTCGTTGAGGGAACGCAAGCAATTGTGATTTGTGAGATACCGGTGAGATACCGGTCGACCAAGAGAGAGACCAGTCATGTCCTCCCGTTCAAATCGCTTTTGGACCCCATAATTTTGAGCCGCGCGCGGAATTAAATGCGCGACGTTGGCGAAGGACGGCGCTTCTCTTCGCGACGTCTCGTCAAGCGAAAGTGAAACCCAC